TATCCCCTGTGTGCCTTGTCGACTCAGTCCACATTCCTCCGCACCCTACGAACCGCCCCTCTACCGCGTTCTAGATTTCAATTCCGCGTGATAATTCGAAGGGTGGCACGTCCGCTCGTGCCTGGCGCCCAACTTCGCGTTTTTCGGTTGCTGCGTAATTGCGAGTTGATGTAATCGTTGCATTGAGCCGGATTAGTGTCGGTCAACGACCGATCTTGTAGTCCGACACCAGAGAAAAGTGCGGTCACAGTATATAGAATATTCCATGTCAAATTGGACAACATTCACTATCGATTGCTTAGTTTATAAAATATTTTGTTAGAATTTTTTAGTACACTATGTGCAATTGAAATTTTCTTTTTATTATTTCCTTCGTAACTTATTATAAGAACAAACATTTACAAAAATGAATTATATACCTTTTATAGACGTGTTATGTAAATAATGTATTTCATATCATTTTCCTTATTTAATTTCCTTATAGAAAAAAGTTTCTGCACATTGTGTGATCTCGTAAACTTTTTTTCTCGCCAAGATTTTGTCGATAACATTTTCTGAGATATTCAGACACTTTCAAAAACTTTTTTTTAACGATCTTAAAATGCCTTTTTTATTTTCTTTACAGTACACGTTTTAAAGTGTACACTTTACGTATACTAACGTGTACAGTACACTTTAAAACATGTACTGTAAAGAAAATAAAAAAGGCATTTTAAGATCGTTCAAAAAAAGTTTCAGAAAGTGTCTGAATATCTCAGAAAATGTTATCAACAAAATCTTGGCGAAAAAAAAGTTTACGAGATCACACAATGTGCAGAGACTTTTTTCTATGAGGAAATTAAATAAGGGAAAATGAAATACATTATTTACATATAACACGTCTATAAAAAATATATAATTCATTTTTGTAAATGTTTGCTGATGCCTATATAAGTTATTGTACATATGTATATACCTTTTATGGCGAGTACTTTAGTTGGATCCAACTTATTCCCTGTCGTGTCAGTATTGTCTGGTTTTACCTGTTTTGATTTTTTATTTTTCGTTCGATTAGATTCGCATCCAGTGACCGTTTTCTCTAGCAGAGTTTTACTTCCAAATATGGCAATAGCGATCTCTTTAACGAACAAACAGGCCTTATTTGATGATTTTTTGGCTATGCGCGATGAGTTGGCTTTATTTAAAATAGCATAGTATTTTTCTGTACATAAGTATATCCCATAGCCTAGATGGATCTGATAAAAATATATGTTATTATATTTTTATTAATTATATTCTGATAAACAGTTAAATAAAGAAAAATATATATGTAAAATTATAATAACTAAGATTATAGGTCTATTATAGGTCTATAATGCATTGATCAACCAGTTCTTTCAGTTTTGTAATTAATTGTGCACGGGTCAAACTAACAAAAAATTTCAAGACAATTCTTTACAATATAAAGATAAATTAAAAAATAAATATACGTATTCACATAAACAACTTCCAAAAATGTATTTAAAAAAAAAATTATCAAAAAAGTTAATATTCACTTATAATTGACACTTCAGTTTTTTGCATTTTTTAATTTAAATTGAAGTAATATTAATTGTCCCATAAATAATGTAATTTCGGATACAAAAGTGTGAACAGTTAAACATATGCTCGATTATTACAGCCCATGAATACAACATGTAATTTTTATACACAACATATATACAAGTTATACAACATATAATTTTTATACACGATATGCATTTAAAATACCTTTCCATTGTCGATTTTTCCGACAATGTCGCTGCATTCCTTTCCCGATGAGTTGGCCATACTTTTAATTTCCTTCTTCAAATCGGACAAAGAAGCTATTTTAAGAAACAAAACAATTGTGTCAAAAACAGGAATTGTAAAATTAATAAGATACAATAAACTTATATATAAATATACTATAACTTTGTACAGCTGAAAATTGGTTTATTACTGTTTTCTGCAATTCAATATTCAGAGCAAATAATTCTTTCTTCTCTGCCTGCTCATTTTCCAATAATTTTTCGAGTCGAGCATTGCGTTGTTCCAAATATTTAATTTTTTTATCTTTTTTCTTCAACTTCTGATCATTGTAAGAATCTTCGTAATAAATCTATAAATTATGAACGAAGCAAAACGAATATAAAATATATTGAAATAGTACATTGAATATAAATCATCATTTATATATTGATCTCTACAACTATATATACAGTGTTTCGTCAGACTGTATAAAGATTCGAGTGTGAGAAAAATTCGTAGTGTGAGAGAAAAATTCGAGTGTGAGAAAAATTCGTAAAATACATAGTCGTCGTAGTTGGAAACAAAGTACAACGTACTGGAAACAGAGATGGACATTTTTTAATTACTAATTACATTTTTAAAAATAATTAAAATAATTGTAATTACTAATTACTTCTTAAATGTGTAATTAAATTAAATATTAAACTTATTGCAATTATACAAAATGTATTTTATTTACTAATAACTTTAGTTTTAATTACACATTAAATTAGTATATTGAAATTGGTTTCAATTTTTTTGTAAAAAAACCATTAAACAAAAAAATATAAATGAAAAAATTATAATTAAAAATAAAATTGTTTAAAAAAAAAAAAAACTCCCGACTGCTGCCGGAAGTAAAGAAATGCACATAACATCGCAGAAATCTCTAAAAATTGAATATAAAAATAAAAACTA